TAGAATTTATTTAAAATAATAAATTTATTTAAAATAGATTGATATTTATGGTTGAAATAATTTGAAATAACATCTGATTAATTCTAAGAGAAAAAAAAGTAAGAAATGTTATTAAATCATCTTGAAAAGAATTGCATATTATGCAAAAATACTTATTGACAAATTTTCTGAAATACAATTAATTTCGAAATAATCTACACATCGACCAGTAGTTTTTTTGTATCATTTTTCAAGAGATAGATTTTTTTTTATCTCGATATACCCATCGAATGTAGGAAAATATATCTTCAAAAATATTAGCAAGCAAATTTTATTTTGCAAATAAAAAAATCTTATATATAACGCAATTTTCAACGAAGTTGGGTGTACTAAAAAAAAATCTATTCTCTTTTTTTTAACAAAGAAAATTTAACAAAGCGTCGTTGATATTGAAATGAACAAATTAAAAAAAAAAAAAAGCAACCGAATCGAATAATTAAATCGCTTAATTCGCTTCCAAAATTTCTGAAAATAACTACTTTTTAAAAATTAATCATTTTTATTCGAGAGATAAAAGAGTAAATATTCGGAAATATAAACGATGTCACAACAGACGACATCGAAATACAACGCCAAGATCATTACCATCTAATTTACCGTTGTCAGAAAATTAGAATGGAGGAGGGGAGGAGGGGACAATGCACCCGGCGCCGATGACAAACGAAGCGAAATTACGCGCCGCGGCTTCTGTATTTCGCACCTGCGCGCCGTTGCCCGTTCAACTTTGACGAGGCAACGCCTTCGCGCCAAACATGGGAGAATCACTTACCCTCGGCTCATCCCTCAGCGTCTTGTGATGGGACTCGCTGCTGGAGAGGGACCTCTTGTGAAGTCGTTTGTCAGCGAACAGGAAGTATTCCTTCAGCGCTCCAATCTGCGAACAAGAGGAACAAGGTCTTTGTCACTTCTCCATTGTCCTGGGACGAGCAAAACTTTAAACAATAATTTTCCCCGCCGATTCTCTTTCGATTCACAACGATACAAAGTTTCTCCTTCCCTGTCCACATAAATTTAAAAAATTTTTTTGGGGGGAGGGGAGGGGATAAAGATCAATTTGGATCCAGATACGGAGAAATGCTTCTGTCGATCGTTGTCAATCAAATTAATAATGTTTATGAAAAATTGATTGATTATATTCAAAAAGAAAAAGAAAAGTGTAAGCGGAGTAAGATGATTGATGATACTTTTGCGTGTCAACTTCGTAGTATATATTTGATTAAAAATTATGCGTATTAGTGGTATCACTTCATTAAGCCTGAATAGAGACAGGTTTCGAAACAATCGGGTGACAGGGGGCCAGACTGTGTTTGACGACATCTCGACAACGTAAGCAAGCCTCGTCACGTTACGGTTAAATTTGCACCCGCAGAGTTTGCTCGTATCTGCGGTTTGGTTCATACACTCGTATATGTATATGTGTGTGTGTGTATACGAATTATATATACGCGTTATATCCTCGCCACGTTGCCAAACGACTTTTGCGAAACGAATCTGTTTCGAGAGGAAGGGAATGTATGATTTCCCTCGATCGATGCATCATTCGAAGAGTTTATGGGATGCTTTACGAATCTTGCGGTTAGAAAATTCGAACACGTGTTTGCCAATGGTTGTAAAAGATTTGCGCGATCAAATTCCACGAGTTGAAAAAATTATAAAGCGTAGACGATGTTATTTAAATTGCTCTTTTTTTTTCGTAAATTCCTCGTATCACTTTTTTTTTTTTTTTTTGTTATTTAAATTACTCTTTTTTTTTCTGTTACGAATATTAAAAAGGATTTTAAATTTTATTTTCTAAATTTTTAAAACTAATGATAGATTCCTCGTATATTATTTATTTTTTTTTTCTGTTACGAATATTAAAAAGGATTTTAAATTTTATTTTCTAAATTTTTAAAACTAATGATAGATTCCTCGTATATTATTTATTTTTTTTTTCTGTTACGAATATTAAAAAGGATTTTAAATTTTATTTTCTAAATTTTTAAAAC